CCTATTAAAATACTATAAATAATGTATACATGACATGTACACCTCTTTCTCTTCCTCTCTCTTTCGAAGTCTCTCCGTTATTCATCTCTCTCTCCCTCTCCCCCCTCTCTCTCTTGCCTTTCATCACAGAGGATGATTGCTCCATAATCATTCTTGTGTCTAATAACTCGTCCAATGGCCTGATTGACAGCACGTGTAGCTTGTTGATTGTACCACTGCTTATCAGTTATTAACTATAAGAAAGAGAGAGAGGGGGGAGGGTTAATACAGCTGCTTATAATACAATAGTTTACTTCAGTTCTATTAAAATTTGATCTAGCATCTTTCAAATATTCCATTTTGAGCTGGACCTTGATAATTAAAAAATTAAAAAATTATAATACATGTACTCTGCTGTATGAACATGTACATGACTACATTTACATGTTCTGTGTATTGCTAATACTATGTACTTTGGGTTCAGCAAAAGGTGGATAAGGTAGTCCGGTAATGATGACAGCTCGTCCATTATTATCAGCAAAATCCAACCCCTCACTGACTTTCCCTCTACACACTCCAAAGAAAGCTCCACCCACTTTATCGGCTGATCCGATCTTCTCATAATAAGCACTCATTACCTAAAAACATATACATGTACATGTATCACATGACTGTCATGTGACTAGTATTAATTAGACTTACAGAATTAAATTCATTTTTAAACTTTGGTTCTTTGAATATTTGCTTATGTTGCTCCATTCTCATGAATATGTTGCTATGCTACATGTATGTGTACATGTATGACATCATCATTGACCAATCAAATTGCAGCATTCTTACCTCCTTCCAGTGGGTGACAAGGGTTTCCATGACAACGTACGAGGGAAAAAAGACCAATACTCCATCCGGTATGATTCTAAAAAAATTAACTAAAAATATAAAAATTAATAATCAAAAATTTAGGAGTAATTTTTTCTTTGACATGTATACATGTACATATACCTAATGTGTTGCCTAGACTATCCATGTAAGCTGGTGTAAATCTAAAAAAAATGTTTTAAATAAACAATAATTCCCTTTCTCCTCTCTCTTGCCTAGTTTGGTAAGACGAGTTTAAGTGAACATTATCTGGTCCTTTTGAAACCACACCCACCCACACTTGATCCTTCCCAATGACATGAGAACCCTGCAGACTCACAGGAAACTCCCTAATAATGATAAATAAATTTCTTTTAAAAAGAAGATTGAGTAGAATAGTAGATGTATCTATACGACTATACATGTACACTATACAGTACACAGTCTTTGGCTAAATTTCGCCAAAAATGAAAAAGAGAGAATTTTCCATTTTTATAATGTTTTCTGATACATATACATGTACTTATGTCGTGTAGAAAGTTAAAGCAGATTTCGATCAAAATT